TGCAGCTGCAGTGCCACTGGCCTCAAGATTGAGACTTTGGTACCAGCATCAGCCTCATCATCCAAGTGTGTCATGCGTCTTTGGCATTATAATTGGACAGCTGGCTCCTCTTTAGCCTGATTTTGCTCCCTCTCCCAGCTGTCTTTATTGCCAGACTTCGAACTCACTGAGTGTGGGAACTAGACTTTGCAACTTGGAGAAGGTATAAAATTGCAGAATCTCAAGCAGTGATATGAGAGTTGTGTTAAGTCCTCAATTAATTTTCCTTGAGTCACGGTGTACAGGGTTTAAAAATAGAGGCTCCTGGCCGGTGTGGTGGCTCATGCCTATAATCCTAGCACTGTGGGAGGCTGAGGTGGGCGGTTGTCAAGGTCAGGAGTTCGAAACAGCATGAGCAACCGAGGTGGGTGGATCGTTTGAGCTCACAAGTTCAAGACCAGCCTGAGCAAGAGCGAGACCCCGTCTCTACTAAAAATAGAAACAAATTAATTGGCCAACTAAAAATATATAGAAAAAATTAGCCGGGCATGGTGGTGCATGACTGTAGTCCCAGCTACCCAGGATGCTGAGGCAGGAGGATCACTGGAGCCCAGGAGTTTGAGGTTGCTGTGAGGGAGGCTGATGCACTGCACTCTAGCCCAGGCAACAAAGTGAGACTATGTCTCAAAAAAAAAAAAAAAAAAAAAAATAGAGGCTCCAATGATTGTGCCCTTGGTGAAGATTTCTTCAAAAACAAGTTCATAGAGAAGGAAAAAAAAATGACTCCTTAACATTTAAAGTTAAATTACATTTAACTTCACTCATAATAAGAGAAGTCCAATTTAAGTATATGCTGAGATACCAATTTTTCACCAACCAAATAGGCAATAAGCAAAAACTTTATTCACACACTGTGTTGTGGAGGATATGTAATAACAGACACTCTTCTGCAGATCTATACTCTTTCACCCAGCAATATAATTTCTAAGAATTTGTCCTATGCAGGCATTTGTGAAAATCAATGTAACATATGATATTATTCATTTCTGAATTATTTATAATAGAATCAGAATAAAACAACCTAAAGTTTCATCAAGAATGGAATGAGCAAATAAATTATGGCACATTCACATGTTGGAATACCATGCAGCCAAAAATGTTGTTGAGGGTTTCTATATACTGATATGAAACATTTTCCAATATATATTACTTGGAAGGGAACAAGATGCAGGAGGCATGTGTATTAGTGGTACATGTGTGAGAGGAAGTTTTCCACTGTTTACCTATTTGTGACTTTACTTTTTTGACCTTTTGAATACATTACCTATTGAAGAAAACAAAATATTTGTACCTACAGAACATTATGTTTTTTTCCCCAACACTAAGCACAGGGTTTGGCATTTGATAGATGTTCAGATTCTCTAGAAAATAGAGCCTAAAGTTACATATGCATCATTTTAGAGAGGGGTGCAATGCCTGGGAACTAAGAATGAAGAGAAAAAGTGAGTGAGTCAGGGAGGGAAGGAGAGCAAATACAAGGTAGTGCATTATTTTGCTGGCCACAAATTCACAACAAAACAGTTGACTGGTGTCCAGAGAGGTTATAAGAAACCAGAATGTCTCGGAATACTCCATGATGAGACGAAGGACAATTTATCTGTTGCGTCTTCCCTGTTTCCCATCTCTCACTGGTTAAAGTCCTACTCCTTTGCCCTGTGATTCATAGCCACTCCAGGCAATTACTGGTGAAGGCAGAGCCTCCAGGGGTCTATCCCAGACAATGTGCATATACAGTCTCTCCTTGTTGGGCAATGCTATACACAGGAACTTCTCTTTCTATCATAACAATGGTGGAAACATGTCAAGTGGCTAATGTGTGCGAGTGGAGACCAGATATTGCTGAGTACTCTGCTGTGGTACATAAATGGGTTCATTACAGTAGGTACTCAGAAGGTTTTAATAGACTTTGTTTTTCAGAGCAGTTTTAAGTTCACAGCAATATTGAGCAGAAGGTACAGAGATTTCTCATATATCCCCTACCCCTATACAGGTCCAGCTTCCTCCACCAACAACATACTGCGCTAGAGGAGTATTTTTGTCACATACCATGAACCTACATCATTGTCAGCCAAACTCAGAAGAGTTTTTTGTTTGCTTTTGTTTGTTTGATAGGTTGGTTGTTTGGTTGGTTAAAATAGTCAAGGTACTTTCTATAAAATTATAAATCTAAGAGTCTGTAAGAACCTAACCTATTTAAATTCTCCTAGCTAATGATTATTTTATTGTAGCGCTAGATTATTGTATTCCACTTAAGTTTATACATGGTTGTATTTGTTCCTGTTTCATACCATGCATTTAAAATAAATTAATCTATTAATAAATTAATAATTGATAAAATAATAAATATGTGTTTAATTGAAGGTGTATTCTAGATGGTGTGAGGAATATAAAGGGGAAGACTATATAACCTTCCTCCTGAAATTATTACAAAAACATACATACTTAAATGGGAAGGCAAGAATTAAGAATTAGTACCAAGCCGGGCGCGGTGGCTCACGCCTGCAATCCCAGCACTCTGGGAGGCTGAGGCGGGCGGATTGCTCGAGGTCAGGAGTTCGAAACCAGCCTGAGCAAGAGTGAGATCCCGTCTCTACTATAAATAGAAAGAAATTAATTGGCCACCTAATATATATATATATAAAATTAGCTGGGCATGGTGGCGCATGCCTGTAGTCCCAGCTACTTGGGAGGCTGAGGCAGGAGGATTGCTTGAGCCCAGGAGATTGAGGTTGCTGTGAGCTAGGCTGACGCCACGGCACTCACTCTAGCCTGGTCAACAAGCGAGACTTCTAAAAATGTCACTGAAAATATTATAAAATGCTACAAAAAAAAAAAAAAAAAGAATTAGTACCATATAACAAAAAGCACAAGGTGCTCTCATCAGTAAAGTGATTTACAGCTAACTGAGCGGGAATACGGTGGAGGCAAGATGGCTGACCAAAGACATCAGCTGCCAGAGCATCTCTGTAAGGAGAAGTTTTAGATGAAAGAGAAAAAATGAACAAACAAACATAGATCTGGTATGGGTCTGAGGGAAGGGTGCCAGAACCTTCAGGAGACTCCATGGGAAGTTTCAGAGCAGAACAGGAAGGAGCAAGGTATTAACAGAGTTCAACCCCTGAGAGCCTTGGAGTCTAGTGAGCAGGGTAGGTGGAGCAGTTTGTTTCTCCCTTTCTCGCATCTCTGACAGTCAGCAGGTTCCTGAGCTGCTGGAGGGATATTCTGCCCACATGAACTCAGAGACTGCTGCTGCCAGTGATCTGGGGGCTTCTTGTAGACAGGGCACCAGGCTCCCAGTTCCCTAGGGCACCTCCTGTCTCCACAGACCTGAGTTGGGGCGATAGGAGCCATATTGCTTCTCTACCCACCATTCGTTTTTGTCCTCCCCAGGAGGCTTCAACTCCTCAGGTTTCGTCTTGCTTGTTCCCACACAGACATTTCCCAACTCCGACACAGACTGCAGGAGCCACAGTGGTCCAGTGGGACCTGGGTGATCTGCATGACTCCAGTGCCTGGACATGCTGAGTGGGCGGCCTCCTGGAGAGAGGGACAGACACAATCAGAGTGCTAGCTTTGCTCCATTCAGACTGTTTTTCTCTCCTTCCCCTCCTTCACCCATAGCTGCTGAGAGACAATTTAGCCACCACACCGAAGCTTCCACAGAGAGTGTAGATTAGCGCTTTACTATTGGGGTCATTGCAGCAGACTGAAGGGTGCTGGGACTGTGAGCTCCCTGTAGCACTGGCCCTCCCTGGTGCTGTTTTCCCAGCAACTCCATCAGAGTGGGGCATGCCCTAAGGCAGAAGGACATTGAACCTCGTTGAGCACTGCATGGGCAACTCAGGACCAGGAGTGCTTTTCCCTGGCGTGGTCAGGGGTTGATCTTCTGGGATCCAGGTATGGGCCCCACAGGCCAGATCTCATACCTCCAGGTCTCAATCGTGTTGCTCAGGGACATGGAGGGGAGATCTGTGAATTAGTCTTGGGAGGTGAGGGAACCCACATGGGCAGATCAGGGGGGAGAGTGCAGTGTGGGTCCTAGCTGCAGCATCCTCATGGGCCACCCCTTCCCTTACAGGAGGGTTGTGCTCTCAGCTCAGGTTGGGATTCTTGGCAAGGAAACCTCTGGTCTGCATGGCAGTTGCTGGGGAGCTTGGCTGGCGTGAGCTCCTGCCTGCCAGCAGATGTGGAAGAAAACCATGAAGTAGTGGAGAGTGGAGAGGAGTAAGGCCCACCCAGATTGACAGATTGTGAACCTCATATGGCCCCTCCCCCACAAGCAGACTTTCTGGATATGTGGGGCCACTTCAGCCCCTCCCTGGCAGCTTTACCCAGAAGCTGGGAGCAGACCTTTGACCCCTGCTAAAACAGATACCTTGCTAGCTTCTGTGGAGCCTGAGGGCAGGCTCACCCAACCCATCCCTGGCCAGCCCTACTCTTCCACCTACCTCTACTGTGGCAGAGATTAAAGACCTGGAAGTCCTAGGGCCCCACCAACCACCTGGGGCATTTGGGTGCTTCTCCTGAGGAGCTAGAGCCAGTCACAGGATCCAAAAATAATAGTGCAGCTTGTTCCTTTTAGCAAGTGCCACCTACAGACAGAGAGGTCAATTTGCATGCCCTTTACAGCATTTACTGACTCAATCATACAGGGTGTGGTTAATTCTCACCCACAAGCACCACCTACTGTCTCAGAGATTAAACTGGACATGCCATTATCTAAACAAAAGAAAATCCAACAATGAAAACCAATAGCTGCTCCAGATGAGAAGGAATTCAGCAGAAGAACTCCAAAAGTATGAAGAATCTGAGTGAAAGGACACCCCCAAAAGGGAACACCAGCTCTCTAGCATGAATACCAACCAAAATCAGAATATTGAAATGACAGACAAAGAATTCCAAGTATGAATTATAAGTAAGCTCATGAAATACAAGAGAAAATGGAAAACCAACAAAGAAACCACAAAAAAATTCAGGAAAGGAATAAAAACTCCTCTAAAGAAATCAAATTATTAAAAAAAATCAAATAGAACTTCTGGAAATGAAAAACTCATTCAAGGAAATACAAAACACAGTGGAAAGTCTTAAGAATAGACTAGAAAGAACCTCAGAGATTGAAGACAACACCTTTGAATTAAATAAGTCAGTCAAAAATAAAGAACAGAGAATTAAGAGGAATGAACAAAGCCTTCAAGAAATATGGGATCATGTAAAGAGGCCAAACATAATAATTATATGTATCCCTGAGGGCAAAGAAGAGAAAACACAAGGGTTGGAAAACCTATTTGAGGGCATAACTGAGGAAAACTTCCCTAGTCTTGCTAGAAATTTAGATATCCAGATTCAAGAAGCTCAATGAACATCTGGGAGATTCATGGCAAAGAAGCAATCACCATGACACATAGTCAACAGACTAGACAAAGTTAACATGAAGAAGGAACTCCTGCGAGATAGGTGAAAACATCAGGTAACTTACAAAGGAAAACTACTGGACTAACTGCAGGTTTCTCAATGGAGACTTTACAAGCCAGAAGGGACTGGGGCCCCATCTTCAGTCTTCTTAAACAGAATACTGGCTAGCCTAGAATTTTGTATCCTGCAAAACTAAGTTTCTTTTATGAAAGAGAAATAAAGACTTTTTCAGATAAGCAAACACTGAGGGAATTTTTCAAGACCAGACATTCTCACTAAGTACTGGAACAAGACAAGGATGCCCACTGTCACCACTTTTATTCAACATAGTGATGGAAGTCCTAGCCAGAGCAATCAGGCAAGAGAAGAAAATTAAGGGTATCCAAATATGGAAAGAGGAGGTCAAACTATTGCTCTTTGCTGATAACATGATCTTATATCTAGAAAATCCCAAAGATTCCACCAAGAGACTCCTGGAATTGATAAATTCAGCAAAGTGTCAGGTTACAAAATCAATGTGCACAAATCAGTAGCATTCCTATACACCAGCAACCATCAAGCTGAGAACCAAATCAAAGACTCAATACCTTTCATAATAGTTTCAAAGAAAATAAAATACCTAAGAATATATTTAACCAAGAAGGTGAAAGATCTCTAGAAAGTGAACTACAAATCACTGAGGAAGGAAATTGCAGAGGATGTAAACAAATGAAAAAAACACATCAACTCATGGATTGGCAGAATCAACATTGTTAAAATATCCATACTACCCAAAGTGATTTACAGATTCAATTCAGTCCCCATCAAAGTACCAACATCATTTTATTCAAATCTAGAAAAAGTAATTTTATGCTTTGTTTGGAACCAGAAAAAAATAGCCAAAGCAACCTTAAGCAAAATGAACAAACCTGGAGGCATCACTTTACCATACTTTAAACTATACTGCAAAGGTATAGTAACCAAAACAGCATGATACTGGGGAAAAAAATAGAGACATAGATCAATGGAATAGAACAGAGAACCCAGATCTAAAACCATCCACATATTGCCATCTGATCTTTGACAAAGTAGACAGCATATACACTGGGGAAAAGAATCCCTATTCAATAAATTGTGCTGGGGAAATTGGATAGTCACATGTAGAAGATTGAAACAGGATCCTTATCTCACTACTCACTAAAATTAATTCAAGATGGATAATGGATTTAAATTTAAAACTTGAAACCATAAGAATTCTAGAAGAAAATGTTGGTAAAACTCTTCTAGATATTGGCTTAGGCAAAGAATTTATGAAGAAGACCCCAAGGCAATCACAGCAACAAAAAAATAAATAAATGGGATTTGATTAAATTAAAAAGCTTCTGACAGCCTAGGAAACAATCAACAGAGCAAATAGACAACCTATAGAATGGGTGAAAATATTTCCATGCTATACATCAAATAAAGGGCTAATAACCAGAATCTATAAATATACAAACAAATCAGCAAAAAATAAAATAAAAATCAAATAACTCCATTAAAAAGTGGACAAAAGACATAAACAAAAGCTTTTTGAAAGAGGACAGACTAATGGCCAATAAACATATAAAAAAATACTCAACATCACTAATCATCAGGGAAATGCAAATCAAAACCACAATGAGTTATCATCCAACACGAGTGAAAAGGTCTTTTATCAAAAAGCCCCAAAACAACGAATGCTGGTGTGGATACAGAGAGAAAGGAGCACTTATACACTGTTGGTGGGACTACAAATTAGTGTAGCCTCTATGAAAAACAGTATGGAAATTCCTCAAAGAACTAAAAGTAGACCTACTGTTTGATCCAGCAATCCCACTACTGGATATTTACCCAAAGGAAAAAAAAGTCATTTTATCAAAAATACACTTGTACTAGAATGTTTTTTGCAGCACAATTCATAATTGTAAACATGTAGAATCAACCCAAGTACTCATCAATATATGAGATTAATAAAATTTGCTATATGTATACCATGGAGTACTTACTACTCAGCCATAAAAATGAATTAATACATTTTGAAACAAAATGGATGGAACTGGAGACCATTCTCCTTAGTGAAGTGTTGCAAGAATGGAGAAACATGTACTCACTCTTAAATTGGAACCAATCAATCAGCACCCATGTGTATGAATGGAAGTAAAATTCAATGGAAATCAAGTAGGTGGGAGGGGGGAAGAAGGGATGGGTAAAGTCAAACCTAACGGTACATTGGACACTATCTGGGTGATGGGCACACTTATAAACTTTGACTCAAGCAGTACAAAAGCAATCCATGTAGCCAAAACATTCATACTCCCATAATAATCTGAAATAAAAAAGAAAACATCCTCTGGGTTGGCTCTCTGGGCTTGCTTTGGAAAAAAAAAAAAAGCGCCAAATGAGAAGTAGAGACATAAATACTTCAAGGTTTGTACAATTTCTTTGTACCTGGAATACTCAGGGAGGACATGATAGAGAAGCAGGAACTTGAACTAGAATTATGGACAAGACTTGGATAGAAAAATAGGAATACTGAGAACATTTAGAATGATAGCTTGGCTAAGCCCAAGCTCTGAAAGCTTAAGACACCATGTGTAGACTCTCTTTTTTTTCAAAAGAATAATTATAGTGGGGTGGTTTGAGACAGATTTGGAATGGTATTAATAGTTAGGGACTATATTGTGCAAGTCTCTCCAGTTCATCGTAAGAAAACCAGAATTTTATACTGTAATCAAGGGGAAGTCATTATATTTTTTGAGCAGAGCTGTCACAAGCCCTATTAGGAATATTTGGGAAAAAGATTCTAACAAAATGTCTCCAACACACCCCTACCCCCTAACTAAATCAGAAGACATTTTCCCCCATGGAAATGTTGGTGGTGTGCTGATCAAAGTCTAACGGAGCTCATTTCCCTGGAAACAGATCTTGTGTATTTCTGTGGGCTGTTTATAAAGAATATATTTTAACTCTTGGCTCTCTATGTCAGCATAAGCATTTTAAAGGTCTGAGTAGTTAAGGGATTCTTAAACAGCATCCTCTGAAGTCTGAACCACGATTAGGTCAGTAGAAAACTGTGAATCACTAGCAGCTGAATGGAAGGTGGAGGCCTTTATCAGCAGCATCTC